TTCAGTTTTTTATTTGTTAAAAACGTTTGAAATATCCAATAAATTTCGTTCCACTTCATGATTGTGTCCCACTTGTTGATTCTTCACAAAAAATTACAGTTTTATATCTTTATGTTTGAAGCCTGAAATGTGGCAAAAGGTCGCAAAGTTCAAGGGGGCCGAATACTTTCGCAAGGCACTGTACCATTGCAACCATAGTGCTAAACACTGTGGTAATGAGTTGTAATTGTTGCCTAGATGTTTTGTTACTGCTGAATTATCTTTCTACACTCTCAGTGACAACATAGCTGTTCTGACCAGGGTACAAATTTCATGATGCCCAGGGCTGCAAAGCCCTGACATCTGTCCAAGATGCTCCGTAGATCTGTCGGAGTTACACGGCCACAGTGGATGATGTGCCCTCATCCGATGTTCTTAACTCCATCAGATCTTCTCAAGTCTGCCAGATCTGAGGAGGGATCTCTGTTCAGTCACTCACATAGCTGTGTGTTTATGGCTTTATTAAGGGGAACAGTGCTTAATAAAGCTGTTCACCTGGCATGCTCCTCATAAAACTTCCACGGTTCATGTTAAAGTTAGCAGAATATACTGTAGAATTTAAGGTTATTCACTCTTTAACACCGCTTGGTAACATCAACATTATTATGAAGCATTTGTTGGTGAAATTCTGTGCCTTATGTTTGCCACATCTATGCGCTATTTTTAGCTCAAGCTAGTGGTGCTACAGTAAGGTTTCCTTCAGTTTCACTGGATAAGCAGATAAAAGGATGTAATATTTGGTTCTGTCTAAAAGCTATAAGAAAACTCAGAGGCCGTAAAATGTTACACATAGTGTTGAAATGTACCGTGTTTTCTCTATTTGAAAAATTGCATATGCTAAATAAGCACCAATACTGTCAATATTGACAACCAAGTGAAAACCTTAACAGGCAGCCATGATGCATTTATTTTGTTTTAACAGCTGCTAGAAGTGATGCTGGTCATTCTGTCGTCATGATGCCTGATGAATATAATTATTGCACCAGTTAGAGGAATTAAGAGAAACTACATGTCCTTTCCTACTTTTTCTCCTTAATACATCCATGATTCTTCCAACCAGTGATCTTAGACATCCACAGAGCAACAAGAGTTAAATATGTCTTAGAGTCTAAATGTGCACAGGTAACACCATTTACTTTCCAAATTTTAATAAAGATGCACAGTTACTGTAGTACAGCATGTCTGCATATTTCCCTTTCACAGTTCGACAAGCATCTGCACTTTAATTTACACATAACATGCATGCTGTGAACACCAAACTCTAGTTTGTAACTTTACTACTCAGGCTGAATACACATGAGCTACGTACACATACATATCAAGTCATTTGTCTTGGCCTTATTTCCCAGTCTACTGGCCGTTGTGCTCTCTGAAAATGTATCAAACCAAAGGTCAAATGGCTTTGTACTTTAAAGTATGAAATGTATGTCCTGGTTCTGGCAGCAGTGATAAGCACAGCACACTACTGCCAGAAATTTAAGACCCTCTTTTGTCACCTTTCTATATGCTGCTGTATAGTATGAGAGATTACTTGGATCATTAGTGCTGGTTTTTGTGTCTATCAGTAGGAGTGTGGAAATTATAATTTGACTTTAATAAAGTCATACTCTGTTTTGTCATTCAAGCCCAGCAGAATCACAGCTGAAAAAAGAAAATAGTATCAAAAGAACCATCCCTACTGACAGACTAGACTTCTCATTTGCAACTTTCATTTTCAGAAACCATTCTCATCAGGATTGGGTGGGTTTTGGCTATCAAATTCAAACTGTTTTTTATAGTCAACTGTAAATGTTGAAACTTCACAAAAATGATAACATTCTTCTCAGAACAGCACATCCCTTTGATTACTTGTAAAAGAAAGATGCCAGGTTCCAGAAGTATTGGGAAAAAAGAAGAAGCAGGTTTTCTCAGCATCTTACCACAACAGGATCAAGATGTCAAGGGTCATTCTCCTTCTTCACCATTACATCTCCGTCTCCGGCAAGGATGGTTGAGATCTCTCCCTGCATGAAGGCCCAAGGCACAGTGGATCCAGCCAGTGGACAGCGCTCACCACTGGGGCAGTACACCTCCCCTCCTTGACCCTGGTTACGGATGAATCCTCGAGTACAGGGGAAGCAGAACTTGTGGTGTGGGACAGAGGGACACTGGACAAAATGCGTGTCTTCCAGGCGCTGTCTGCAGAGGGTGCAGCAGAGCAGAGTGCCCTGAGTGGTGCCTGAAGACTCCCCAGCACTGGTGTTGCTGCTTGGCCCCCCCGCACTTAGACCTTGCCCCTGGGAGACTGAGGTGGAGGCACCAGATGGGCTGCTGCTGGCAGGACGCCCAGCTGTGGAGGAGTGGGCTGTGGACATGCTGGGGCTATCTCTGGCCATCTGGCTGGAGCTCAGACTGTCTGCAACTCCCATGAGTGCTGAGATGGGTGAGGGCTGGCTGTGTAAACGTTGTGGGCCCTCTTGAGAGGTGGCCATGCCAGGAAGAGGTTCCATGCCTGAGTAAGCACCTCGGGGCCAGGACTCTCTTGCTGGGTGATCAGGCCTCCCTTCACTCTCTCCATTCTCAGAGCCTGGAGAAGCCTTGCGGCGCCGAGTTGTGCTCTTCGCTGGTACAGGACGTCCAGCTGCTGCCATAGGCAGCACTGTATCTGGCTGTGGCAGAACCTCTGGGATTGGGGGCTCCTTAAACATACGCACACCATCATTCAACAGCTCAGACAGCCCACGCCAGTCTCCCATGCCTTGCCGCTTCTCATATTCCACATACCGTAGCCCAGAGTTCACTGCTTTACCTGCATCTTTGGCTGAGTCATGGAACATCTGCCTGACCAGGTCTGGAACTCCTGAGAATATCATTCCAGAGCCAGCAGGATACTCTACAAACACCTTAAGCTCAAACTCTGGGGCTGTGCTGGCATCAAAGGCCACAACACGACCCATCAGATTATGGTCTTTCCTGAAGCGCACATTAAAGGGGACACAGCTGCTGAGAGCTACAAGCACATCCCGGACTGCTTTGGGACGGGTTGGCCAGCCTTCCAACCTGCTGCGAGAGACTTCGTTTAGTTCAGCCATCACTTCATTGTTCCTCCACATTGCAGGGTCTATACCCACCACAGTAGAGGTGCTAGCTCCCAAACTCAGGGACACAGCCTGTCTTCTGCCAGCATCACTAATTATGGGGCCAGCTGAGACAGCAATAGGTGCGGCCCCAGCCCTGGAGCCTGACAATGGGGCTAAAAGCCCATGAGGGGCTGCTACTAACCCCTGAGCTATCAAGGCATGGGATATGGTGCCATGAAGACCAGAGACGGCTCCAGCTATTGCCCGACGAGTATTTGGGCTCTGTCGGCTGCCCTCTGACATAGCCACATCTTCAGCTCTGTGCAGGCCATTAGGGAGGCGGGAAGACACCCCATACTCACCCCTCCCCCTGTCTAGACGCTCTCCATGCTGCCGCCCTGCTTCAATAGGCCCAGCCGAGCTGGGTTTGCCCTGCTGCGGACCGGGGGACCTGCCGTCTAAAACTCCGTGCGTGCTCTTAAGTTGCCTGGCGGTTTCAATTAGGAGCTCTATTCGATCTGCCCCATCGTAGTTGACACATCCTCGGCACACAGCTTCGCTGAACTCCCACAGCATGGCCCAGGGCATCTTGGGCAGATCGCAGAGGTAGCACCATTGCCGTCTAGAGGAAGAATGCGAAGCGGAGGACATGTTGTTTACAGGCCCTCGACCAAACTTTCTTCGGAGGCCTACACGTTACGGTCTACGGTTTTCAACAATTCTTCAATTCTCAGTCAGTAACAGCCACATGTCGTAGATTTTACACTGAAAACTAAACGAAAAATAAAGTCTAAATTTGTCTATTTACGACAGCGTTCAAAAGTTAGCGACGTCTTCTTTTTTTTTTTTTTTCAATTTGGTCGTGTCGGTCTGTGTGGAAGGAAGTAAAATGCTATAGGACACCGGAAACACCTACGCGACTGAATTTTAGGGCATTATGGGATTAGTAGTTTTTGTCTTACTCAACGTATTAGTGTAAGAACGCAGGGACGAAAGGTACACAAAACAAGTATTATGAGCCAGGCTGTGTAAGCAGAGATATGTGGGAAAATTGGGGCATCTTTGACTATTGTTTCATCGGAAGGTATGAGCGTAATTATAAGACATGGAATCTAACGTTCGCCATTTTTCTATGTAATGAAACAATCAATAAAGCATTACATCACATAGAATTAACATAACAAGAAGAAACAAAATTGCCAGGGGAAATAACATCATCATCAATTAAGGAAATATGTACAAGGCATATTAAAGTGGGAAATGGTTAAATTATAACATAGGTGAAAATAAATAAATAAAAGTGCCTTAAAGGATATATTCAATGTAGAATTTAAAATGAAACCTCTTTCATTTTATTGTTAATGCAATATTTAGCTGTTGATGATAATAATGATAAATAAATTAAGACTACATTCAAACCAAAGCATCATGCACATGGTGTCATAAATTTAAAAATGCTAAAATTGTTAAAACCTTTGGCTAGTCAAAATTCAAAATGTCCCATATGAATGAATGTCTCTAACTTCAAACTGTGTTGCAGCTCATTGCAGTAGTGAGGTGCATAATAAGGGAAACCAGTCTTTCCCATTTCAGAGTTGGTGTGAGAACATTTTAAGTCAGTCTATCACGTGATCAGGTGTCATGGTCATGAGCTCTGAACTCATCTGTGAAATATCTCTGTACCTTAGATGGCAAGGCCTTACAGATGAAGACACTGGTATGAAGATGCTTTCTAGTGCCAGCGACACACATTACATTTTTTCAGATAACTTGAGTAATGAAAATGGATGGCACTACAAGCTGTCTTGTTATATAAAGCCAATCTGAATTTTTAATTTCTGAGCAAGATGTACAAGGAAAGTTTTATAGGACAATCTACTATGTAACCAGATTCCTAAATATTTGTAATGCTGGACTGTGTCAATTACTGTACACGTCCATGTAGAGTACACATAGTATTAGGAACATCAATACAGAAAATGACAGGCCTTATCCTTTAACAAGTTTTTCCTCCTCTTCATCCTTATCTTCCTTAATTTTTGTTTGCCAGCTGTTGCCACATGCCAACCACCAAGACTATACTAGCAATCACATCAGATTTAGAAAAGATACACAGGAATAAAGTGTTATGAACATTGCAGAAACTGAATTTTAGTGTCCTGACTTTTGTGCCATGATGCCTATAACAGGAGGAAAATGTAAAGTCTAGTTAGTGAGGTGTCCTACTGTTTTATTTCACTGGTGATGTCCTTATGCTTAGCTGCCGTCTCACTGATCTGCTCTTCAAGCGCCAGCCCATACTCCAACGTGATCATGGAGCTCCCTGGTTTTACCCTAGCAGTCTTTTCCTGAGCTCACTACAGATACAGCAGAATATTAAGTTTTATATTAACAAGTGTTTTTGTCAAACACAGCTGAGGATGTAATACTGCATATTTTGTCCTGAAATACTCACTTCATAACATCTACCCTCCCTTGCTGCTCAGTTATTTCTTCCAGATCTGAGTTGTGCTCCCACCATCACATTGTTTGCTCCTTCTGATGCATTTCCTTGATTTTCAGACACAACGCTTATTAAAGCTGTGTTAACTAAAGAAATGTCTGTAGTTTCCACTCAGACCTTTGTCTCCATGACATGTTCCACATTCCATATGACATTAGAAGGGAGCAAGAGAATCACACATGCACACAGTTTCAATACATTGGTTTACTTAAGTGTATGTTCATAACTGGCAGACTGGTGTGCCAGCAGCTGCAGCACCAACACACAGTACATCAGCTGTTTTCCAGACAAGTTTTGATTGATATACATATTTGTTACACTTCAATCAAAACACAGCAAATAGTGTAAATGGCAGTATTGCCACACAAAGGAAGAAATCAGTGCCAAGAGAACCAGCAGATGTGTGTGAACATACTGTATCATCTAACACATTTCAACTTAAACACTAAAAGGGCTCTGCCTCTACCTTCCATGTCAACATTATAGTCCAGAGGAAACTTAATAATGTAGTTATAAACAACATATTCTTTTTTATAGCCATAATATAAATGAAAGAATGGCCTGTCAAGCTATTAAACAATTTTATTTGTGAATGTGTGCCTCTCATGGGGAATATAACACTTATTTACTGTTTAAGCTTAGCGGTGAAACCCATATTTAATGAAAGGCACTGTAAGCTCAGCACAAATACATACATGCAGCCAACAAATCATCCATACAGCAGGCTATAGTGACAGCTGAAATGTATTGTGGTGCTGTATTCCTGATGTGCTGCTGTTAACGCTTAACACTAAAGAATTAAAGCACTGAGGTGAATATCAAACTAATATGTTAAATAAGGGCACTATTACATTTTAAAAACTGTGTTAACCAATTTACTACTTCTGAATACAACCAGTAATACTGAAAATAATAAGTCTGGATACATGCAGTTACCATGAGATTATGCTTCTTTCTGTATAACTGCAGCTTCTGCCTGAGCCAAGCTGGTTTTTACCTAGTGTAGGTGAAGTTGTCAGCTGTTTGCTAATGAAATAATTTCAGCCAAAACATTATTCAAAGAATTGTTTACTAAAAGACAGTGAAAAATTCACATTGAAATCTTGATTATGAGAAAGCACTCTTCTTACAGATAACCATCTCCTCCATGTCTGCTATCCTTTAATCTTCATAGTGATAATCTTCGATAGTCTAGGCATCATATGGTAGGGCCTCTAACCACTTCAGTACAAGCAGAGATGAAAACTACACCTGCTCCTCTCTGTAAAAACTGGCTAGCCATAGATTTTTATTTTCCCTATGGGTCAAGAGAGAAGTCTCTTAATATGTGAACACTGGTTAGATCAGTACATATTCACAAATCTTAAAAATCTAAATCATATGTCAACATGGAAATATTTTAGAATAGTGTGGGGTTATTCAAATATAATGTCATGAACATACAGAACAGACAGCTGACAGACCAGGTAAAAAGTTAAATCCTACACAGTAGTAGTTTAACTAACATGTTCTAAAGCACAGCAATCCTAGTATTTTCTCAGTACTGGCTAAATGATTAAATGAGACATGACAACAGAAGTGCAGTACACGCTATGCATAGACTAAATATTAGGGCTGCACGATATATCATTTTGTGAGCATGATTTAGATCCCTGTGTGATCACAGTCTCACGTTAACAATGATTCTGCCGTGTTTGCATCAGCAGTGAGATTCCTTGCATCAAACCAAGCGCTCCCTTTTCCTCGCTAAGCTGTGTAAACTAATAACAGCAAAGTGATTTATTTCTGCCTCAAAAGCAATTCAGCACTAGGTGTACAGGGCAGGCAGCGCAATGTTTAAAAAACAGTTGTAGGACGTCAGAATATCTTACACAATGTCAAACACGTTGGATTTGTTTATAAATCAGTTTTCTCTTCCCGTA